AAGGAAGCTTAATTTTTATGCTTCAAGATTTACAGGAAATGCTGCAAATCTTTCATCTCACACTGAAAAAGTTCCTGCCTCTCCAACTTGAGAGTGACATAGTAGGTGATAACATCAAAATTATAGGAATCATTAAAGATTGGATTAATCTCTGTAACTTTCAGTAAAGCCTATTAAAAAAATAATAGTGTATTGTACCACACTGTTCTTATTAAAAATGATAAATGATCCCCATTTTTTTGGCTAATACTAATTTCAAAATTTCATTCTTCTATGCAGCTTTATGGTTACCATAATCTTGATATTTTAATAGCTTTTCCCATAATAGCTGCAGAGACCTTTTTAAGTGGCAGCACTGACTTTATGGACTTTAGAAAAATCAAGAAAAGAGGTTTTTTGTACTAAAAGGCAAAAGCAAGGCAAAGCCAAAACAGTATGACGGAAGAGCAGAGGACCTTGTTTTGGTAAACCATACTGTCTAATGGTAATAGTTACTCATAGCAGTATTTCTGTTCAGCTTTAAGTAGCCCTTTTTTTTTTTTGCACTTGCTATCATTTAGAGAAAGTTTACAATCTACAGTGTCTTCAGCTTTGTTTCTTGTCTCGAGCAGTGTTGTGTAGGCAGCACAGGAGAGACTTGAGCTTTAATAGTTTATCATTGAATGCGTTAAAAAAATGATGAGATCTGAACGTGATCAGGAAAGGCAGACCCAGGAGGAACGTGTGCTTTGCCGAGCAGAGCAAACAAAACCAAACAAGAAAACCCCAGACAAAACCCGTGCAGCAAGGCAAAGTGATGCAAATTCTACTTTGCGTGTCTCATTTTCCCCAGGATGAGTGAAGGTGCTGGGCTCAGCACCCCAGCAGGCTCAGCTTCTCCAGAAAGGCAGCCATGGTGTGGCACAGGACTGCCAGGTCTCTCTGCTGGTGCCCTGGGAAGTGGCTCAGGACATTTCTTTTTGGGGGGCAGTAAAAAAAGTGTGTCTGCTGTCTGATAATAAAATTGAAAAGGCGTATCTTAAACGTCCTAAATCTACATTCAAGTGGTTTGAATAATTTATTTCCTTTTTAATTACTAAAGTTGACAGCAACTGCTGACCGCTCTAAATTTTGTTAACCATGGTAATTAGCCATGAAATAGTGGCAGAAGCTTTGGGTTCTCTTTCGAAATATTCATTGACACTTAGACATGATGTGGGGTACGTACCTGTGGTTAGTACAGTTGGTCCTGAAACCCAGAGGTAGCCTGAGCATTGTTCATTGCATAGTATGGGGGGGAGCAACTGGTGTAAGAGAGTCTCTGAAAAGGGCAAAAAGAGTGAAGAAAAAAAGGCTTCTGGCTTCTTTGGTATTGCTGCCACATGTTTAAGTAACACAACTTTGCAAACAGGAACTCGAGTAAAGGGCTGCCTATGGAGCTTTGAATCAAGGCTGTTCCTGCCTGATGTTGCGTAGATGGATGTTAGAGGTGTATAACCTGCTTCCATGTACTGCCTATCATGTTCTCCTGCCTGTCGCTAGCACAGAGACATAAATATTAACGATAAATGTGCTGTGATACCTCTGTGCAACTGAGCTTCTCCTGAAAGCCTTACTGTAGTGACAGGGGATGCAGCATGTCGAAGAGGTTGATGTTTTGCTGGTATGCAGTGGGCTTTCCTGCCATATATCTGGTCTGGGAATGATTTGCAGCTCTACATGTTTGGGATGATCACTTCCACTGTCCTTCAAAGTCAAATCAAGCTTCTGCTAACATGCCTGTTACCTCCACTGTTCTTCATGAGCCCGAGTTTTCTATTGGTTCCTTTTAAGTAGGTGAGTAATGTTAACTAATTTAGGATGCTCTTCCGCTTCTCTGTTGTCATTTGTCTGGACCAAAAGAACAAATACCTAGCGATTTGTAGGCTTGTGCTCAGAAACCTACAATCCATTTTCCTTCTTCTAGCTTGTGCCTGTGCTGGTTATGTGGGTATCCCAAGTACTCAAGAGTGTGTAACCCCTCAGTATAGATTTGCATAGATGAAAAAGGCTCTTCACATAGTCAACACAGTAAGAAAAGTTTCAGGGTTGAATGTCTTCAGTCTGGTGATGGCTCAAGTCAGGGTGCATAGACCATCTGTACCAAAACTGTACGGGTAACTTCTTCATCTCCTATCCTTGCTGATAATCATTTGAGAAGTGATGATTTGCTACCCAAAAATCTCTGTCTTGTTCTGGTCTATCATGGAAATCCAGTTCATTAGGGCAACGAAGAGAAGTGCAGTATCAAGGTACAACAGAGGTCTTTGCAGTGGAAAACCACTGCTGGCAGTGGGATGGCAGCTTGTTTCTGCTTGTCATTAAAACCAGCAAATATGGGTCAGAAATCTTTGGATAATATTCTCTGAGAGTCTTATTTGAGCATGCTTTAAAGGGGAAATTAAATGCATTGTAAATTAAGCAAAATTACATGAAAAGGGCCCCAAATTAGGAAGAAGTTTGTAATAAATTCTTTGAGGATGTAGAGTCTAATGTGCAATTAGAGAACCACGAATTGCCTGTTTCTGCTCATTCTTTGTACTGAAAGACTCGCTCTGTAACTTCAGTAGATGTTTCAATCGCATGCGGTCACCAGGAGCCATCTCAGGCTGTATTTTAAGTGTCTGTTTACACAGTTGTTACAAATTGCCTATGGGATGTGAACTGTCTATCACTTCCATAGCAATTAGTATGAGAAGCCTTATCAAAAGAAATCCGTCAAGTTTGAAAAGCCATAAATATTGCACTAGGATCTCTGAGGAAATCAAAGTGAGTTTGATACAGTGTTTATTTACATGTTGCTACACAAGCAAAAGCACTTATAGATGTTCCAGTCTATGTTATTCCCTGTGCTCTATATTCCATTACTCCCATGTTATTTGAGAGAGGGAATTACCCAGAGAATTGTTTTAAATATTATATAGTGATAATGGACTACTGCTAGTATCTAATTCTGTGTAGTTCTGGGTAGGTGTATTTTTCTGGACAATGATTTGTTGTAATAAAAGGAAGGCAGAGCTGTGGCATCAGATGTTTATTATGTTCCTCAGTTCTATGTAGTCTAATTAATAGAGTTTGAAGATGGCTTTTGAGGAGATTCTGATGTTTTGCCCTCTGGAAATAAGTATCCTTTAGTTTCCCATGCGTTGGGTTCATCTGTGTGGAGGAATCCCAAATCATCACTATTTGGTGCTTGCTTTGATCAGACCTCTTTACTATATGCACAAATTTCCGTTTGCCTTCTGCTCTCCTGTGACCTGCTTACCCAGGGTTTCCATCTGGCACTCAGCTCAAATGACACAAATATTTAAGCCTTTTAACTAAGGCAGAGACTAGGAGAAGCTACTACAACAGTTATAAGATTGGAAAGCCTGTCTTGAAAATGAAGGCAGAAGGGCTCTTGATGGCTCTCACCAGCAAAGAGGCAGGAACTCTTTAAGCTAAAGGTATCATTAGCCCAGAAGCACATAGCTTTAGACTAGTAATGGAAATATTTAACCTGAAAATTAGAGGGTTCTTAGCAATTCAAGTAATACCAACTTAAAACAGAAAAGTAGGAGCCAAAACCTTGCTGCTTCTCAGGTGTATTTATGAATAGCATTATGTAACTTCCTGGGGAAGGATAGGGAGGGACAGGAATTGTTGATCCAAAAGACCCTCCCAGTTCCATGGGTTTTGTTGAGGAACATGTCCTCAATTCACCGTCCCACAATCAACACACAATGGTGTTCCGTTGCAGAGCTCAGGGGGCTTCGGTGGAAACTTGCTGTGAAGATTCACTCAGATTTAAATGCCTCTGTGCATTGCAGGACCATGGTGTTTATTTGCCTAGTGCTGGATGCTTCTGGAGGAGCAAGATAATTGTTCACCAAGAGTAAATAAAAAAAAAGCAAACAACCAACCTAACTACTTGCAGAAAATAATAAGCCAGCTGAGAAGTGGTACCTTGTTTATTCTGAGTATCCTCTTGACATCAGCATGAGGTTACTTATAATTAGATGCACATGTGTAAATACGATGATTAGATATTCCCACATAAACATAATTATCATATCTTCCTAAAAGTCTAAGCAGGCATTTTATGATCCTGTTGTTGAAAATAAATAAGTAAAAGCCAACAATCTGCATTCAGCCTCTTACATATGTAAACAGTGGAACATGAGGGCAGAATATATTTTCCAAAGTACCTGATGGTAGTTGAGGTCAATTACAGTTATGACTCATTAGAGTATTAAAATAAGAATGCACTTTTTAGTGTAATTAGTGTTCCCTTAGAAAACTACAGCAATCTTGTGTAGTTCTTCAAGGATTTTCAGGGTGTTTGAGCATTAGTTGTAGGCAAATATTATAGGGTTGTTTTGCATTAACCTCACTTACAAACTCTGCAACCACTTGCAGCATCTCACTTATATTGTTATTGCTCAAATAACTTCCAAAGATGCCTTGTAAAACAAAGAGTACTGTCTAACTAGTCATATGGAGGATTACAGCTGCTTAATTTAGTGTTCAGTTTTTTGCTGATTCAGAAATTCCAAAGGAATAAAGTACACAGAGTGTGATAACACACGTGGCAGATCCTCCTCCAAACTGTGTTTAAAGGAAAAAAAATTAAGGAAGAATAAAAGAAAAGTCGTGAGTCAGGCTGAAATGTTCATGACAAAAAGGTGAGGTTCTTGTAAAATGCTTTCTGTGTTGGGCTGCAAGAACTTGAAGGAGCAACAAGAATATTAGATCTGTCTGTCGGCTCAGAAGTGTCACAGTTGGAAATTTATGTTCATAGCCATAAAGATAAGAACTTGCAAAACGTTTACCTTGTTATCATTTTATGGACTGTGATATATCCAGTTTTCCTAACCAAAAGGGGCAGGGAGAAACTAATTTTCAGGGCTCCAGCTCTGACTTGGGAAGGAGTCCAGCACTAGACTGTGCCCCATGAGAACGTGTGTCCTGTCACTAAGACTGGTGTTACCTTGTGCTTCCAGAGCTCACCTACGCATGGATCTTCAATGAGTACCCGACCTTCGTACACCAGGACAATCGCCGTTTTGTTTCACAAGAGACTGGGAATTTGTACATCGCAAAGGTGGAAGCTTCAGATGTGGGCAACTACACGTGCGTGGTGACGAACACTGTGACCAACAGCAGGGTCCTGGGCCCCCCCACCCCACTCATCCTCAGGAATGATGGTAGGACTTAGAGGATGGGAACTGGGGGCTGGGGTTGGAAAGTTTGTTTTGTTTTCTTTGACTGGCTGTCACCCAGACATTAAGAAGTGGCCTGAAATCATAGAATCATAGAATAGTTAGGGTTGGAAAGGACCTTAAGATCATCTGGTTCCAACCCCCCTGCCAGGGACACCTCACACTAAACCATGGCACCCAAGGCTCTGTCCAGTCTGGTCTTGAGCACTGCCAGGGATGGAGCATTCACAACTTCCCTGGGCAACCCATTCCAGTGCCTCACCACCCTAACAGGAAAGAACTTCCTCCTTATATCCAATCTAAGCTTCCCCTGGTTAAGTTTGAACCTGTTACCCCTTGTCCTGTCACTACAGTCCCTAATGAAGAGTCCCTCCCAGCATCCCTATAGGCCCCCTTCAGATACTGGAAGGCTGCTAGGAGGTCTCCACGCAGCCTTCTCTTCTCCAGGCTGAACAGCCCCAACTTCCTCAGCCTGTCTTCATACGGGAGGTGCTCCAGTCCCCTGATCATCCTCGTGGCCTCCTCTGGACTTGTTCCAACAGTTCCATGTCCTTTTTATGTTGAGGACACCAGAACTGCACACAATACTCCAGGTGAGGTCTCACAAGAGCAGAGTAGAGGGGCAGGATCACCTCCTTCGACCTGCTGGTCACGCTGCTTTTGATGCAGCCCAGGATACGGTTGGCTTTCTGGGCTGCGAGCGCACACTGAAGCTGGCTCATGTTTATATATTTATATCAGAGAGATTTTTCCCTGTGGAGAGATGCGGTGAGGCTGGAGACCTCTGCTTTAGCTGTGGTTCAGTGTCACAGACAGTGGTGGAGTTTGATGCTGTGGCCAAGGTTGCGCTACCCACCACTGGAACAACTCTCAATCTCAGGCAATAATTATAAAAGAGAAACATGGTGACACTTTGCCAAAGACAGGAAATAAAATAGATTTTAGAGTTTGGATATGCTAGTTTTGCTCATTTTATACAGCCCAGAAGAGAACAAAGGCACTTTGTTGTTTCGGTAACTGTTAGCTTGGGCTGTATTTCCCAGCAGAATTAGTGCTATTTTTAGTTGCCTGTGGAATAATACAAAAAAGCAAGAACAAACCAAAAGAGGATTTCTAAATTTATCCAGACAATTGATTTGTATCATTGTCATTTGTTAGTAGATAAGAAAAATAAATTTGTATGCTAATTTGCAATTAAAATTAATTAAAATTTGTCTGTTTAAAGGATAACAGTCAGGACATTTGTGCCAGAAATAGAAATTCATTATCAGAAGCTTCTTCTAGAAGAAGTTCCATTGTCACCTAGTGGTATTTGACAAAAATTCCTTGCTTGTAAAAATACAGGCTTGTTGCTGCCAGCCTCCTGCCCATAGCCATCCCCTTCACATTAACACGGTTCCTGTGGACAGGGAGTTTGGACACGTTGGTAATGGGAAAGTGCCACAGTTAGGCTGTGATAGCTGATGAGAGCTGCTTATCCAGGGCTGTTACAGGGCAGGCTGCATATCTGTAAACACAGTGGCAGTAAATCTGTCCCTCTCAGTCCAGAATAAGTCATCTAATATGTGAACGATAAAGAGGAATATTTAAATTTGTCTCATACCAACATTTTCAATGTTTCAAGAAGAAATATTTTTAAGTATTACATTAACAGAACTTTTATGTAAACCTTACCTAGCTGAAAGTGCTTCCATTTATCACAATCAAGCTCAGTGTTTGCTCCTGTTCCGCGATGGGGCTGATGCTGGGATGATTGCTAGGCAGCCTGATTGTAAAGTGCCTTGCCAAGGGCTTTACCCCAGTGCATCGCTCCTCCGCGCACTCTGCTTTATTTACGGGGACCAATTGCCTTCCTGAGGTAATTCACAGAAATGTTCTCCGATTCTTTTGAAGTGCACTCTGCTGTTTATTAAAGATATGAAACTTTAATTGAACCTCTGAGGGGCTGGGGAATGCATTCCTGAGTTAAACAAGGAAGGTGCTGTTGTATCTGTAGAGCCAAAGATGGCTGTACTCGAAAGCTGAACACGGGATAAAAGTGTGTTTTGAAATAAGATTGCGCCAGTATTACAGACAAGCTTCGTTTTAAAAATCAGTAGGTCTCCATTTTTCATTCCCTGTAGGTTAACCCTGTAAAATCAAACATGCTATCACACTTGAAAAGAGAAATTATATATGTTTCTTTAGAAGCTCAAACAACAGAAATGAGTAGAATGTGAGGCACATCTTATTTCCACCGGCAAATCTGTCTTGCTTATCTTTTGTCTTCGTATCTGACATGTCCAGCATATCTTAATATATATGACATACTATTTTCTTTACAACACTCTTATCATTAAATTAGTAGGCTCGGAGGCTAGCTCATCAGCAATTAGTGTTTCAGTCCCATTTAATTTCAATTAGTGAGTTAAGTGGGGAAAAATGCACCATGTATCTCTCCCAGTCAATGTACTGAGTTGCCCCCCTGGTGGCTGCCTGGGCAGGCAGCAAAGTGCCATGTGTGCCGGGCTCTCCTGCAGCTCAGGAGGAGGGATTGGGGGGGTCCCTGTCATACCCTCCCCAGCATATCCCGAGTTATGGGGAGGTTGCTGCAGCTCTGAGGCAGCTCAGCCCTGGGCTGTAGGACTGGAGTCCCACCTAGGACAGTCTGCCCTCCACCACTGCACCCTTCATAAAATGCTCTTTTGCTGGAAGTTTCTGAGCTCTTACCTGGTTGGCTTCATGTTGAAATACTTTTTATGAGTTCCACAGGAAATCAGATAATTTACAACAAACTCCTTTTGACACTCCTGTTTCTCTCAAAAATCAAAGTTATTTCTCAGCTGCAAAACTTTTTTGCTGTCATGCAGAATTAATTGTGGGTCCCTAGAGTTAATACGTAGCCCCATTACTGTGAAAGAAGCAAATGGCGGTATAAGATACTATCTGAAAGGAATGCTATCTGAAAGGAATACGGTCTGAATGGTTACACAGAACTAAGAATAGTACCTGTATTTGGTTTTTTTAAATTATTTCGTATTGCATTGAAGAGAGGAAAAGGGAAAGCTCTGTCATTTTGTGCTGGTGATAATCTCCTACTCAAAAACCTTTAAAACTTCCCCATTCCAGAGCTGTAGGAAGAAAACAGAGTTCAGATGCTCACAGTTTGGCTGACCCTATGCTGTTTGGTATCAAGAATTTCAATGGGTTTAACAGACAGGTGTATGAATTACATGGTGGGTATTCTTGCTGTAGCCAGTGTTCAGCCTGCTCATCGAGCTAACGATCAGTCCCCATTTGCCCAGAGCACTTGCCACTGCCGTGCTGGGATTGCAAAATGTCTACAAGAACCTTGAGGCTTCTTTTCATATTTCTTCATCAAATTATGGCAGTAATTTTTCTAGACCGTAGTGAATCATTTAGGTTTTTTTACACTGAATACCTGCCATCTTCATTGTGGTTATTTGACTGGAATGTAATCATCCTGGAAAACAGCTTTTCAGCATGTTTTTTTTAAGCGCTGCTTGCTTTACAGCACCAGGCTTTTGAGCTGTAATCTGTAAAAGGAAAAGATACGGGTGTAGGGAATGAAATCAGATCCTGTAGGCAGATTGCTTTACCCACCTGGGCCTTTTGTGCTCCTTTTTTTCCTTGTTTTCAGCTGCAAGGCTTCAGAGTTATGGATCTCCTGATGTTTGCAGCAGCTTTTAGTAACCAGCAGTACATGCTCCTGTTGACAGAACTCAGGTTCCTTCCCTGTCTCTGTGCTGTGGAAGCAGAAAGTGCCTCTTATCCCATTAGTTATCCTCAGACAGTTTTTCCTCCTTGGAGAGGTAAATATCACAGAGGGTTACAGGATGGTGTTAGGAACAGACCATGCCAAGGCAGCTGTCACAGTCAGCATGAGCTCAAGCTCCGTTTCTATGGACAGAGGTTATCTGATGATGATAAATACACTGTACTAAGTATAGTGTGTGCTGGGGAAAAGATGTTTTTCCTCTGTCCCTCTTAATTCTCTCCCACAGCCGCATGCAGTTACCCCCTGTTTAAATAGTTTCATGTAGTTATATGAATTTGTGGCAGTGAGGATGCTTGCAGTGCAGGTGGATAAAATATTTAAATACAGTGTCATGTAAGTGTAGCAGTGCCTGAAACTGCATGTATTTCGTTTGGGACCAGTCCTCCTGAAATGTGCACCCATATTCCAGCACATGTCTTTGGGAATGACATGCAGCTCTGCCTTTGTAAGTGCTAGTTCATCAAAGGAATAAGTAAGGGAAGGTACAGTTTTCTGGGTTTCCCAAGGTGTCAGTGTTTGGTTTCAGCTTTGGTTCTGAAGTATGGTAGTTAGTCCTGGTATTACCAACTGGTGCATTCCATTGTGGGGAAAGGGATCTCTGAGATATTTCTGTGTTGGAAAAGAAAATAAATAGTTAAATGTATATGGCACTGAAGAATGAAAATGATCTTAAAGCCTAAAGTTGTCCATTAAGATTGTAGCACTTAACTGCAGCTCAGAAGAAAAAAGATTTAAGTTTGAATGCCAGAGAGGCCACCTGGCAGCTTGCTGAGGGATATGGACTGGAAGAGAAGAGGAAAGGGAACAAACCTGCAATGCTGTCTCCTTTGTTTAATACAAACATGGAGTCTTAGCACTATTCCTCCCTGAACAGGCATCAGGTATCCTGGGGTGCTGTCCCCACTGCTACCGCAGCACCTTTGGGACCCCTTGGGCCATCCCAGCCCCACAGCAAACACAAGGCAAAGCCTGTTAAGAGCACGCAGGTGTTGAGAGCCGCTGCTCTTGCAGTACTTCTTTTTAAAATGCACTTAGGATTTTTTACATCGGCATTAAAACAGTAATAGTAGGAAGGAACTGAAATAGTCCTGGAATAAAATTACCATCAGCGGCAGCTGTATGGGCCAATTAAACTTTAACATTTCACAGGTGTTGTCAGGAAATGCATATCATCTCCTCAGACAAATTACTTGCCTCTAAATTCCTGGGACTTTCATCCAGAAGCACGTTTTTAAGCCTTGAAATTGGAAATAAAAATAGGAAAGCCTCTGAAACGCAAACACATAAAACATCTGATGTGCCATGAAGATGGGTCTGGTTTTTTTGCTTGTTGAGGACTGGTTGGTAGCTGGCCCATTAGTGGGCTGCTTGACAGGGGCAAGGTGGCTCCTTGCCCTGGCTCCCTTTCTCCCATGTTTCCCACCCTCCGGCTGACTGCCAGCAGAACCTGCGGACCTTTTGGAGGGAGCTGCATCATCTCCTCTGCTCACGTGCCTGGGTTATAATGGGGCAGGTGATGGCTGGTGGCACAGGTATCAAGCAGCTCTTCACCTCTGATGGTCAGACATCGGAGGGTGATGGAGACCATGGTTTCTTCAGGTAAGTCTCCAGCCTGAAAGCCAGTGTCTTCCACAGTGAGCCAGCTGGCTGAATCTGGTCAGACTTTCCTGCAAAACATATCCTCAGAAGATCTTCCTCTGCCAAATTTGCAGGCTTCATTGCAGAACCTAGAAATGGTCTTCTGGCAAAACGTCCCAATAAGTTCTAGTATCAGCAACACAATGCTGCTATTGCCAAATGTTCCACTCGACCTTGCCCTTGGGCACTACTGGGCAATACCTGCTCTTGTCTTGGCAGAACCTCACCCAGCAAATGTTGGCTGGTGGCACAGGTATCAAGCAGCTCTTCACCTCTGATGGTCAGACATCGGAGGGTGATGGAGACCATGGTTTCTTCAGGTAAGTCTCCAGCCTGAAAGCCAGTGTCTTCCACAGTGAGCCAGCTGGCTGAATCTGGTCAGACTTTCCTGCAAAACATATCCTCAGAAGATCTTCCTCTGCCAAATTTGCAGGCTTCATTGCAGAACCTAGAAATGGTCTTCTGGCAAAACGTCCCAATAAGTTCTAGTATCAGCAACACAATGCTGCTATTGCCAAATGTTCCACTCGACCTTGCCCTTGGGCACTACTGGGCAATACCTGCTCTTGTCTTGGCAGAACCTCACCCAGCAAATGTTTTGCATGGAGTCTGGAGAAATATAGGCAAGTTTGCAAAGATTTAGTGTGTCACAACCTGAAGAACAGAGAGTGTTTTCCATGATGTTAACTGTAATAGACATTTCCAGCCCTTCAGGGCTGCAGTGTTAATGCGCAGAGGGCTAAAGAAAGCGTGCCCCATAATTCTTGTTTGTACAGTGTGTGAATGCTGGAGCATTTGATGCAGACTCATGGGTTTCCTGCTGTATGTGCTGACTAGGACATGACTATGGAGAGAGTGCTTGTATTATTAATAAATGCATTTAATTTTGATGATTGATGATGTGCCGCCGCTCCTCTTTATATAATGTGGCAGCAGTGCTTATTTGCAATTAAGGGTTGGAAGAAAGATGGTGTAACCTGCTATTGCACCAGAACAGGTAATACTCAGGTCAGCAAGTAAAGGTAGACTTGATGTAAGCCTCATACTGAGCATTTTCAACTTTAAAACTCTGAACTGTGAAAAACTAAAGGAAAAAAAGGCTTTTCTTGCATCCTCTTTTCAAAGCAGGGGACCAAAATAGAGCATTGCAGCCTGGACTTACCTGAATCTCTCTGCAAAATCATGCTCTCGCATTTTTGTGTTACCTGTGCTCTCTCATTCCTGTATTTGTGCATTCTGTTGGCATCCCCCTGGTCTGATCCAGCACCACTCCTGCCTTGCAGCCTGTGCACTACTTGCCTGCCCTGCACTTGGCCAACATCCAGGAAGTGCCGCACAGTTAAGATTTAAACTGCAATCATCAATTAGCTGGTAATCACTATTGGTGAAATTATATGTGCTGGTTTTAAGACAGTACAGTGACTAGAAACATAGCCATTTATCATAAATATAATGGCCTTTTTATGTGCACAAATTTTTAAACACAATTCCATAAAGAGGCTGCTACGATACGTGATTTATTGGAGCAGTAAAAATAAAGAAATTACCCAAAGAGTGTGATCTCTGCGCATCTAAATCCTTGAAGTTAATAGAAGCATCGATTAGCTCCAGTGCTTTTAAAACTTTTTCTAATGGCTATTTGTTCCGCATTTTGTTTTCTAGAAGGTGGTGAACCTCCCTTATTATCGCTTTCGTTATTTCACAAGTTTCCTGCAACAATCCTGAATATTCAAAACCAAAAAGTAACAGAGCCATGAAGAAATTTTAATCTTTGGCAGATGGTGTGGAGCGCTGGTTCAGATTTTCCTCTGGCAGTAAATGGGAAAAGAGCCCACACTACACGGCTGTTAGAAACAGGCCATGTTCAAAATGAATGGATTAATTGGGCAAGTAATGATGTATAGAACAGCTCTGTGCTAGCACGGGAACACTTGCGAATTTATTGCAAAAATTCAACCAAGCTTTAGCATCTATTTTATGTTCACAGGGGTGATGGGGGAGTATGAGCCGAAAATAGAAGTGCAGTTCCCAGAAACAGTTCCATCTGCAAAAGGAACAACGGTGAAACTGGAGTGCTTTGCCTTGGGGAAGTAAGTTTTCATCCATTATTATTATTCCTCCAGCTTCTCCCTTTCATAGTGCTGTATTGTAGAGTTTGCAGGATTTCCTAATCATTCACTTTCCTTAGCAGGAGTGCATTCATAACAGACAGAGGGCTTGGGGAGCAGGGGCTTTGCTCACCAAAACAATAGACTTCCTCTCCCAAGGAAGAGAGAAGACATAACTTACTTTGTAAAGATGTGTTTGCGCTTCTCCTGTTTTACGGTTTCATGCCACACTTAAAACATATCTCTTCTTTCTAGAGTAAACTCTGACAGTATTTCCAAAATAAAAATGTGGGACTGGTAGGAAAGTGGATGTATTACCACAGCAGAACCCCTAATTCCTCTTTGTTAAAACAGCATCTTAATAATACTTTGATATTAAGTATTAGTAAAATTTATAGTATTATTGCTATTTTTATAATACAGCCTTCTGCTTTTAAAACTATGTGTGCAATACACCACTGGTATACATATGTATGTTTATAAGCCACCTATAATAAAATTGCTTCAGACCCTGTGCTTCAGACTGACCACATCTTCATCATCCTCCAATATGAAACAGTGTTAAGTTGTTCAGACAAAAGCTTATCAGGAGAAGACCCATAGCTTTTTATGAAAGTCTTATTTTGCTTTATTTTTCTTATTTAGCCCAGTTCCTACAATTAGCTGGAGGAGAGCGGATGGGAAACAGATACCCCGAAAAGCCAAGAGACACAGATCAAGTGGACTTCTTGAAATCCCAAATTTTCAGCAGGAAGATGCTGGACTCTATGAGTGCGTAGCTGAAAACGTGCGAGGGAAAAATGTGGCACGAGGACAACTGACATTTTATGGTAAGCAGACTGCCAGCTTTCAGGGGGTTTTATTGTATCAAATGCAATATGCAGTAAATATTTTGTGAGAAAGTAATTTTTGAGGCTATTTTTAAAATTACTTTCTTCTGCAAACAGCACATCTCAAAAAGGTTGTGATTTGAAATAAAACCTGTCTGAATGCTGCATATTAATTGAGAGTCAGAGCAGTTGGAACAAAAACACGTAGATGGAAGCACATTGGCATGGTAACATACAGAAAACTCTTCCAAATGGCTCATTTGCTTTCTTGTGGCTGTGAGGATGAAGTAGGTATTCCAGTGGAGAATTATGGTGGTTACAACTTGGGATTTATTCCGTATGTGTTGCCCCAGCTTGTGTTAATAAATGTTAATTGCTTGCAAGCAATTAAGGACTGCTTTCAAGAGGAGCCACTGGTTGCACAGCCTAGAAAGTTGGGATTTAACACTGTTGGAGCCTGTTCACACAAAGACTTACTACACATGCTCTTCTTGCACTGAAGTCAGAGCCATTGAACACGGTGCATAAAAATGTAAAACTTCACAGGCCTTCTGTGTTAAGTAGATGTGTGTACCTCTAATCCTGATACAAGTATCTGCCTGCCCCCAAATTTCTGCTGGAAACAGCCCCATCTTGCAAATCGAATGCTTTTAAGAGATTATTAAAAGCAAATTAAATGCTTCTAGGAGATGAACCAAGCTTGCAGGGGGAAACTTTTACCTGTTCTGAGTTACTGTGGATTTACTTGTGTAGAGGTAAACGAGAGTCAAAGATTGGGGTTGTAGAGGTATGAATGGGCTGTTGGTTTGGTCCTTAGTTTCTGTTTGGTATTTTGTGGAGGAGCTGCAGGTTACGTATCCCACATTTCAGGTGTGCAGAGACCTCCCCTCTGTCATAAAAAATATTTCTTTGTTGCTGCCCTGTTACCATCTTCAGGAGCTTTATAGTGTCCTTATTCCTTATGGACCACATGGAGAAAAATTCCTTGTTTTCTGCCCCAGATGCTCCCAAGGGTCTGACTTCTGTCAGCAGGGAAGATTGGGCTGGACTCCCGAGATGAGAAGAATGTTTTTGATTTATAGTAAATTTGCCCCTGAAAAAGAGTTTGGGATCTATCCTTCCTGGCAAAACTACATTGAATTTTATTTTTTTCTTAAGCATAAATAGGAATTGGAAATATTCCTAAAAGACATTTTCATTTAGAAATCAGAACTTTTGGGGCTTGCATTTCAAATGAACACTTCTCCTTTTAAAACAAAATGAGAAAACATTAAAAAGGAGTGAAGTAACAAGAACAAAGTGAAATCTTTCATATTAAAAAAGAATCTGGGGTTAATTCAAACTCTTTTTTTCTTTTTTTTTAATTAAAAGATTTGAAAATTGCTTTTTCTGTTCATCAAACAATGCAAGTTTCTCCTGATTTTTCCCATGTGGACAGTAAATGAAAGGCCTTATCAGTTGTACAGTTTTGTTCTACAAGCCACAGCCAAACCTGCCTTCCTTCAAGGCAGTAAACCAAACCTTTGGTATACTCCCTCTGTAGCATACATTAAGTTATAATCAAATTGCCGTAATGAGTTTACCAGTCTCAATCCCATAGCTGGAGGACTGCAGATCCTACACAAAAGCTGACACTGTGCCTAATTTTTTTCTTCACGTGAGCAGGGAAGCCTCCCTATGGAGAGGTGCTAGCCTGCCACCTCTCCTGGTTACTGGTTTTAAAGATAATTGACTGAAATATCATCCTTGTCTTGAGGAAGATGAGTTGCTGGTTGATAAGTATTCAGTTTTCAAGGAGTGTGTTTGCAGATCTCTTATAAAAAATCTGCTTTCTGTAAGCTAGGCTCTGGGGCTTCACGTAGCAATGACTATTTTTGGGGAAAGTAACTTACTGTAAACATCTTAAATATTTGAAGCTGAAAGAAAGTCTTTTTCCTTGATCATTTTTCTTTTTAAAGCTGAGAAGTGTTATTCAAATACTACTGTAATGTTGAGCAAAGCTTTTCAGGTTGCTTTTGGCAGGTTGGGGATGGCACCCAGCAAAGGATGCGATATGGGTGGTTGGATGTGCTGTCTGTACACAGTGCTGTGCTCTGCCATGATGCGCGCCCTGGAGATCACAATCTGGCTCTAATGCTGTGACTCCTTTAAACCCAGTTATCTGCATCTTGAATAGTAGAAAAGAAAAAGGAAAGAAAAAAAAAGAAAACGAAATTCAAATTTGCCTGTTCACTGTAGATAACCCAGTGCTGCCTCCGTTGTCAGCTTCTTTCAGTGTTCCTGGAAGTTGTCAGGGAAGATTGACTTTTGCTGTATTTCATTCTTGTATCAATGTTTATTTTTTCCTCTGTTAGCATATCAGTGACACTGAAGTTGTTTGACATTCTTGTTGCAACAGGAAAGGTTAATTAAACTTGCAAGATCTGTTCTTCCTCTGTTTTCTGTGCTTTGAGTCCCTGCAACTGTCTGTATTTTATTGCTCTCCAAAAGCATTTGTTCTGAGGGCTGTATGTCCCACTTGATAGATAGACCTTCACGATAGAAAACATGTTAATGTTAATGCAATTACAGTGACTTATACCTGCTTCCTTGACTATTATAACTCTGAACAATATACCACTTGTTTTCTTGCCGTAAGTCTCTTGTCCTGTCTGCCATTCCCAACCAGATACCACCTACCACAAATTAGCAAATTAAACTGCAAAAGTCTTCTCTTCTACCCTCATTTAGCAGCCATAAATGCATGTTGCACTGTGTTCATGACTTTGCAGCTTGTTCCCCACAGATTTAACCCCATGCCAGTTAAATCCCTATGGCTGGGGCAGGTGAAGTCCCCAAAATGAGCCAGCACTGGCACAGCCGGAGCACACAGCACCAGCTGCACCAACGCCTCTGCTTTGAGTGCCTGCTCTTTCATCGAACTCCACAACAAGGGTCCGCCACGCCATCAGCTGTGTGTTTTGATCTGCAGCATTTTGGAAGCACTCCCATTAACCTGATTCTATATTTAATCTGGCTGCTCATAAATTTTAAATTTGATAAACCTCTGTGTGGCCAAGATTTATTGAGGAAAAGGCAACGCCAACAATTTTTTCCTTTTGGCAGAAGTACAGTAAACAGATTACAGTAGCTCGCTAATTTAAAAATAAATTGCTTTTTCGTTCATAAAACCAGCATCAAGGAGGTGCTTATTTATTATCATCGTGGATGTTGTTTCATTCATGTTAAGTTTAGATGCCATTTGAGTCAGATCTTCCTTTGTCAGACAGGCACAACCCAAAGGTTGTCCTGAGCATAGGATGAGAGGCAACAGGCAGATGCACAAGCCTAACAAACTCCAGGCATTGTTGTGGTTAATCATCTTTGTGCTCAGAGCTTTTTCCCTTGATGGACAAGGGCCTCACTGCCTCTCTACAGCTCCACTGATGTGCTTTGGCCAGGTTCTCCCTGCTGACTGTTGTCAAAGGTCTCTGTACCACCACAGCAGCATATTGCTCTCCCGGACTTTTGAAAAACATGAGTGTATTTTTTAATGCAAAGTTTGAAAGGAGATGGTTGTGCCAGTGCTTACTCCTTTGGATCTGCTCCAGTGTGCATTTACACTTTCCTGTATTGACTTCCTCTGATGAGACAATGCAACCTCTTGATATCCTCCACCCCAATGGCATATAGAGTCTGAGTAACAGAAAACAGGAGAAACAGCTGTCTCTCTAAATATAATCATGTTAAATGGGGCTGGTGGTGAGAGGACAAAGCAAGCAGCACTGGGAGAGGCTGCTCTGCCATGCAGGTAGGGCTGCTGGGCTGGGGACAGGCACCCCAGTACGGGCTGAGGAGCCACACCACCACCGGGAACATTTGTCTGCCAGAATTATGACCAAAACCATTCAATTTGGCATTGGGCTTTCCAGTCAGATCAGCGCTGTCTTACATGGCATCATCTGCTCCCTGCCCAGCACTTTGCAGGCAAGCCAAGGCAAAGAGGAAAAAATTCCAGTTAAAATGGTTTCTAAAAGTGTCAGCGCAGCAGCATCCGCATTAGCAGAGAGACGCTCTTATTTGTAACTAATTATGGTTCTTTGCAGCATTTTGTAAGATATTCAGCAGAAACCATTTAATTGGCTGGACCGCTTTTCAGATTAAATACTTCTCAAATCAAAGTCCCACCAGGAATTTATGTGGCTCCATAATTTTGCAGTGAAAAGAGCCTCCCTTTCATCAGTGGGCCTGTGTTTTATTTGTGCGAAAGCCACTTTATGCCACTCTATGAAACAACCTCAAATGTAAATCGTATTATGCTCTTCATTATGGTTAGAGGTCTAAAAAGGAAATTTGCATAAGTGAAAATCAGGCAGTTGTATGTCTCTATTCAGCTTAGGTCCCAGATCACAAATAATTTGCTGAAAATTCAAAGCCACTTGAAGTAAAATGAGTTTCTGGACTGATAAAAACACAAGAAAATTCACATGATTATGGCAAGTGTATATTATTATTAATTGCAATTTTACATGTCTCGCTAGAAAACCCAGTTTGCTACCTGTTATGCAGATACGTTGCCAATTCATTTCTCATTTTCAGGCATCTTCCTTGTTTCTATTCAAAGTTCATTTTATTTAAAGTTCTCAAATCCTTTGTCATTGCAGAATATTGTGCCAGTTTAACTCTTGGTTAACCACCACTTAAGCACTTGGCAACAGCCAAATCCGTCCTTCCAGAAATGGGCAGTTGGCCTTTGGAGCAACCATTGCAGTGCCCAAACTCAGTTAGTTACACTCACCCTGGGGAAAATCACTGCTCAGAGGGAGGCTGTCATGACTCCTGCCAATCGAATAAGTGTTTTCTCAGACTTTATTGTGGGTGGGAATAACTCTGAGGTTTGAAAAAGTTGCTGCCCAAGAGAATTCTTGCATCTGGAACAAGTTTCCTCACAGAGAATAGACACATTTCTCCTCCACTTTTCCTTTTCCAAGGGTATGCGGAAAACCTGCTTATAGAGAAATCAGGTTTTAGAAGATTCAGAAAAACTGCTCAAATGATTATCATTTTGGCTTGGAAAATAGCTCTTCAGCAGGAGAAGCAATAATACAAGTAGGCATGAGAAATCAAGTGTAAAGTCTACTCGTAGAGTACCCCACACCTCCTTCACTCCCCTGGGTAGCTGCAGTCTGGACTATCCTGTTTAAAAAGTAAATAAATATCTGAGGACTGGTCTCTGTCTACAGACCTGTAATACCTGGTCTTTTGGTGTCCAGCATAACTGGGGAGAAAGTCATGTAATGGTGCAATAGCTTCTGGAACAGGAGCTGAGTAAAAGGTAGGGACGACTTAAGTATTTTACCAGCTAGGTTAATTCCTTCAACTGTTCCTCTGTTCCTTTTCCTCTGATATTTACTATTTTAGTCCCAAGCAGAACTGCTAGGCTGGTTCATGTTGGTTAGTCTTCCAGACAAGAGGAATGGAGACATCCTGCTGGGGTGGTGAACCTTCCAAAGATGCAGACAAATGGAGGTGCAGCGTTCAAGCAAATTACTTTGGTGGAGAATTTGCACAGCTTTGAGGTTGTATAGATTTCAAATAGTCCTTAATTGGCAGTAGAGGTCAGGATGAAGGGATTGAGAGGAGGAAAGAAAAAAAAGGGAGAAGTGGTAATTTAAAGTCTGCTTTCACATTCCTGGGATCGTTGTTAAGGATAACAAATTAGGGACATAAGGGGGTTGTTTACAGAAGCTATATCCCCATTTGGACCAGAATGACGCATGCACTTGTCTGCACAAACCTTATACACTGGCTGCATTCTTTATTTATAATTACTCATCCATTTTTCCCATCTGTTTTTCTTGCTTCTTATGCTTGGCTTTCTGGTCTTTAGAGTTTTCTGATCCTGGGCTCAGTCTCAATCTCCTTAGAAAAGATATAGTAATGGACAAGTCATTCAGCCTTTCATCTGCCATTAATGATGAATTACACAGCCTGCACTAGGTCATCAGCTGCTGTAAATTGGCTTAGGAACACTGAAATCAATATACACCAACTGAGAATTGGATTCTGTATATGTATTAGTACCTCATTTGCTTTAGTCTTTTTGGTTGTTTTGAACTCACAGACAACTTCTAAGTCCTACAGATTTATTTCTGGTTTATTTCTCACATTGTTCCCATAATCCTTTGGGTTTTTTACTCATTTCTGATGCGATGCATCATCACCAGCTCTGTTATTTCATTTCCAAATGCCTTTTAGGATATGATTTCTGGTCCAGCTTTCTAGTGCCTACTTTTGCTTTCCGTTTGTTACAATGAAAGATAGAATCAGTCTGGAGTTTTTGGTCTTAGAAAAGTAAGAGTATATTTGAGCAGACTGTCCTAGTCACCTGGTTGAAAATATCTCACTTTGTGTTGGTGAAGACTGTAAGGTGGTCAAAGGTAAACAAGTTTTCTTTGCACTACTGCCATGATTTTTCTTCCATCCCTCCTGAATACAAATTCAGATAGCTCTCATCTCCTAGGAGGGGAATATTTTTCTTTAAAGTTATCCTGATATAAGAGTCATGCTTATATTTCTAAGCTTTTTCTTCCACTTCATAGATTTAGCATATGAATTTTTCTTGCAACTCTGATGAATTCTTAATCAGCTTCCATGTAAATTTTTTCTTTAGTACCATATTTTTCCTCCAATATGTTTCCAAAGCCAGTAATATCTAAGTACTCCAAGTAGGCCCAAAATAGTTCCAGACCATTTTCATATGAAAGAATTCATCTCTGGTCAGCACCACTGAAATGAACTGAAGGATTTCTTTCTAGAGCACTACTACCAGTCACAAATTAAACTTTGTCATTATCTCAAATGATGTCGCTATGCCAGAAAATGCAGAAAATCGAGCCGGTTTCATATCCTTCTTTGAATTACTTTAATTATCGTGCTTGAAATCTTGTGTCGTATTACCATGTCTTCGTATTATCCCCAATGGGAGGTTGTCAAATTTCATTATGTTATGGCGACTCTCATTTGGCGGCTCAAACATATTTGCTGCATGAACCAGCCCTTGTGTATTACTCAAGATTAAGTCAGGAGCGTGCGTGCTATTCTCTGAAATGAACTGTTGAAAGGAGAGGTTGACCTAATTAGAAAACTCTCCCAAAGAGCAGCAGAGAGCAAAGCTCCTGTGAAACAAAGGACTCCTCTGGTTTTCACTGAGATTTATTTTTTGACCTATTATGCTCCTTCTGTACTTCTCTGCATCATAAATGGCTTTAGGATAGAAAGGTTAAGCGGTTAAAATAACTGGAGGGGTGAAAAGAGGCACACAGTCCAAGGCTGCATCTCATGGGTGCTGCAGAAAAGGGTAAAGTGAACAGCAGGGGTGGCAGCTTCCAGTGCTGCGTGTTGAAGTCTCAGCACTGTTACTTAGGGCAGGAGCTCAGATGTGCAGCCTGCAAAGTACCCGAGAAAGCTGAACAGGTAAAGTCTTTTACTGTGTTGAGTGAGAATTTTCCCTCTTTGGGGAGTCTGCCTAAAATAAGGAGAAATACTGAATTTTCTTTCTTTCCCGCACAAGAGTTTTCTTTCTTTTTACATAGCATACACTTACATGTTACAGCACAGATGTTACTTTTCATGGGTGTTCTTGCTTATCAGGTTACTTTCAGTTGCTTTGTCTGATTATTTTGGTTGATTGGTTAGTTTCAGGTGGAAAATCAGTAAAATACTCAGTACTGCCAAAAAGGCAAGTGAATCTGTGTGATTTTATAGAGCTCCTTCTGTGGTATTATAAGACTCTCTTTGAAATTATGAGTTGGATGCTGTTACAATAGTAAATATGTAAATTCATGTGTAATTTGCGAATTGCAAATAATTTGCAAATGTCCGTGAGCCACTGAACCCGTTGAAATTGCTCAGCGTGTCTCAGTTCGATGGAATTGTTCAAGTTCTTACTCCAGATGACAGAACTGACTTTCATCTTCCTACATTTAAAAGCTTTCCGTTTCATATCTCTTTAGATACAGATTATAAACAAGCTTAAAATAGTACAGGGACTGGAGGGGCAGTCATAGAAGTAAACACTGCTTGTCTCTCCTTTTCAGCTGCTTCTTTTTGCATCTGCCTTGTCATTACATTCAGTTCACCTTTCTGCTTTTTTCACAAGTCCCTTGGAGTTAAGAGGCTGTGCAAAATTCCTCAGCTTTCTTCTGTGCTTTGTAGGCACGGTGAGAAGAGCAGTGTGTAGTGTGGTAGGTGTGGGATTATGCACGTATCTGTCACAGCCTGAACATAGTTTGAAAAGCCACTCAGATCTCCAAACATGTGTGTTTCCAGCATCACATCGTGGCAGACGTACCAATATTTTCAGTATAATCATGCGAACTGTATGTGGAACTTACCATATTGATATGATATTTTTTAATTTGTCCTTTCAGACCTTCCTGTGACATGTCCCTATCCCAAGGAGATATCTAAAGTTGTTACCTGGCTTTGAGTAATCTTAATTATTTTTTTAATCTGGTTACGTGAGAAAAAGTATTAACCAGGTTCTTGGAGACCTCTGCTGGCAATATCTTCCTACGAAGTCTCTCAGATTTTCTTATGCCAAAATAGGGCATATGCCAGTAGAAAAAAATGAACTTGCTCACCTTTTCAGTGGGACTTTCTAAAAAAGTATTTTAGGTATATTGAGACAGATGGAGCTTTATGAAAGTAACGTAAGGAAGTCAGCGGTTTTATCCAAAAACACGCGGCAATTTTAGTGGAATTTGCATGTGGAGTCTGGCTAAACTTAAGCTATCTCATAAGTGTCTGAAAACTGCCAGCGCCAGTTTTAACCAAAGTCCACCAAAATGTATCTCCGATATCTGCTGTTGGACTTTTTTAGGCTTGTTCAAAGTCATTAATACAAGTATTGTGTCCAAAATTTTTTCATACACAAGGAATATCTTCCTATGGTGGTACTTGGAGATACGTCCCTAACGTAAGAAAAGACTGAGAATTTGGATCTGAAGTAGTGCCTACAACCATGCAGACCTAAGTAACCTTAATTTCAATGCAAAGGTAGTTCTAAATTACAAGTGTTGAAGTTGGATGCTAAATTTTAGAGTTTTGAAGCCTAAATTGTATAGACCCTGAAGAAAATGTCTCTATTTGAAAGACCAGGGGTCTAACAGTGCCATTAATAAAAAAGGGGTAGCACATGGACTGTTGCTTTGGTTTTGTACGATGATCAGGGTTTCTGAAGCTACTGTTTTTCATCAAGTGTTTTAATTAAAATGAAATCAGGTTCTGATCTTGCATGTCTCACCTTCAGAAGCAGAAGTGGACTCAGGGGAAAAACAGTCTTTAGCAGTTATTAACCATGTTATTAAATCCAACCCTTAAATGTGCTAATAGAGAAAGAAATGGTCACTTGCTTGCACCGAGAAAGCACGCTGTTGGTTACAGATATAACACTTCATTCATTACTTCTACATTGCAGCTCAGCCCAGCTGGATTCAGAAAATCAGCGATGCACACGCAGCCATAGAGGAAAGTGTTGTCTGGGAATGCCGAGCAAACGGGAGACCAAAGCCCTCGTACCGCTGGCTGAAGGATGGGGAGCCACTGCTACCCCAGGTAGGCACCACTAGAGCCCTTTGCTGAGGAGGAGCGTCACAGGCTCTGTAAGTCCTTTCATGCTCTGCCAGGTTTCTCATCTCTGTATGTTTTATTACTTTTGGAATGGAAATAGAAAGGACAGCATTGCTTTGATACCCCCCCCCCCCCCCCCCACTGTGTAGGCAGTCCTTTGCTATGCCTGGTGGGCACAACTGTATGGCTTCAGAAGAGCTGCTGTCAGTGACAAGCAGGACACACGACTTCTCTGTGTTCAGAGGTCATTCCTGAAATGAAGTCAAATCCTGTTCAGGTGAGCTTCAGCTGCTAATGAAACCTTAGCATTTCTGCTGGTCTTTAACAGTGTTCCTGCTCCTGCTGAGCTGTGTCCCTGTGCAGGAGCATGGCCTGTGATTGCTAGGGACATGAAGAGCTGTGTAAAGGAGGGTGACACACAGGAGCTGCGGAAATGCACCTTGTCCCACCACCATGCCTGCCCAGCCTCTCACTGGAGAGCCATCACTCACTGCCATAATCCCCCCTGATATAACTACAAATTGAAAACAACTGACCAAATCATTGCTTTCATGGTAGCCAGCATTTTTTTCCCCTTCACTTATTGTGAAAGAATATGGCAGCCCAGATTTGATCAAACCCTGACAAAGATTGCTCAAACATTAGATTTCTGCCCTACAGTCAAGTAGAAAGCCAATAGCTCTTTATATTACTGTTTTTTTAAGTGGTGAAACTCCTGGGGAGGGAGGGAACACTTTGCTGTACTTATTAAAATTGATAACACAAGCTCCATATCCTTAGGCTGACAAATGATACCCCAATCTTTTGTTCCACACACTAATTTTACTTGCTTCACGCTGGTCACTAGCAGATGGTCTTGTACTTAAACCACATTAGTGGCGGATACGAAGTAAAGGATCATTAAATTATTAACATCTATATTGTTTTCAGTAAACTGCAGAGGGTTTTAAGTATTTCTCTCTGTGCTAGCTAATATGGCAACCAGCCTTACTAGCCTTCATTGCCGTATATACTCGTAATACCATTGTTTTAAATGTTTTAAAGAAAACAGTTGGCTGTGATATGCCACTATAGAACAGAAGCGCATTTTTTGATTCAGGTTTATGTACTTGAAAGGGATATTAATCTAAATGGTTCGGATATTAAATCACAGAGAGGTCAAGGGAAAGTCCTCCAGTTTAAATTGTATTTGCCAACTACTATATTGGTTTTACCATTTAGTATCTACCATGATATAAATTTAGCTGGTGCACAAATAGATTGGAGCATGTAAATTCTTCCCATTACTGCTACATATTTTTTTGTCCACCTTGGTATAAAACACAGCACAACCACTGCTGGGTTTCTGTTCTAAGGAGGGATCTCCTTATTTACTTTTTTATTTGTTTTACTGTTTCCTACAGGGCAGAGTTCAGCTGGAGCAGGGCTCGCTCACAATAACAAATGTCAGCCTGTTGGATGCCGGCATGTACCAGTGTGTAGCAGAAAACAGATATGGCATCATTTTTGCCAGTGCAGAACTGAGTGTCATAGGTAAGTTTACTATCCTGAATGTTGCAAACCACCCAAAAGCAGCAAAGTCTGAATAGACCTTTCATCATTCTTATGGCAGTTGTAATGCTCCTGTCGCAAACCCTCACCAAGAGCAGCTCCTGTCCCACCTGCTTTGAGTGCACCTACTCTGCTCATCCCTGTTATACCTGGAGAAGCTCCTGTGAATCCAGGTGGTTAAATGGGATGGGAGGGAGTACAGATAATAGAGCCAGGCTCTTCTCAGTAGTGCTCACTGCCAGGACATGAAGCAACAGGCACAAACTGAAACATAGGAAATGCCATTTAAACATCAGAAAAAGTTTACTGTGAGGTTGGTTGAGTGCTAGAACAGGTTGCCCATCCTTGGAGATGCTCAACACTGAAACGGATGTGGCCCCAGGCAGCCCACTGTAGCTGGCCCTGCTTGAGCACCGGTACTACGGGACCATCTCCGGAGGTTCCTGCCAGCCATGGCTGTCCTGCAAGTAGGTACCTCATTCACAAATATCTCTCCTGTATGACAGGCAGGCCTAGAAACCAGTATGTCAGCATAGATTTGTAGTTTCAAATGGTTAAATAGAATTCATGATTACAAAACAGTGGTTTAGTTGTTTTCAAAGTGAATGCTCAATAGCATCATTCTCCTCTTTATCCTGAAGAATAAAAGCATGAGGTCTTTTCTGATTATGACATTTTCAATTATTGATCATTTTTTGTCAGCACTGATAGATGCCTGCATAGAAAAAAAAAAAAACATTTGAAAGATTGTCAGCACTGCTGTTCAAGAAAAGTACGATAATGCTCAATAAATTAGACTTCAGAGTGCTAAGATAGATTGGACATGTTACTGTGTGAAAGAAATCAAAATAAAGTTGCTGGTGCTCTTCCCCTCTATTCAAAACCCTGGTGAAAATGAGCCTTTAGGAGAAAGGCAGATCTACTCAGAAGACAGAGTCTTAGGCCTTGCTGGTGGGCACTTCCAGGGCCTCCCCATGCCCAGCAGCACCCAGGGGCCAACCTTATGTCTGCATAAAGAGCAAAGACTTTGGAGAGCCTTCTCTTAAAAACCTGCCAGATTACTTGTATTTGGCTGACTTCTCATTTGGGTTATGCAATCTTGCTTCTGCATGACGTGTGAAAAATACCAGAATGGTGTGCTGCAGATTAATTCCTATGGATCTGTGATTTAAACTGGCATATTTTTAAAGAAAACCAGCATGTTTTCCTTTTCACTGTAGTTTTCAAAGGAGGTCAATATTCTGAGCTCTCGCTGAGAAGCGTCAGCTTTTAAACAGATCTTTCTGAGTATAAAAATGGTTATTTTAAAAGATCCTGACGTTAAGCACTTGAAATGATTAAACACCACTAATAGAAAGTGAGACTTATAGCAAAATTACGTGAAAAAAAGAGAAAATTACAGACAGAGCTTTTCTCAGAGTGATTCTTCTCTATTATTGTTGCCAATTATATTGCCCTGAATCTTCAGCTAAAAGCAGGATCCTGTTGTGCTGGCATTGTAAAAACGTATAGTAAGATTCAGTCATCACCTTAAAGAATTTTCAGGCTTAATTTTTTTAAAGAACAATTAAAATAAAAAATAAAAAGGGTGGGCCTGGAGTGGAAAAATAAAAGACATTAAAATCCTCATTTTACAAGCAAGGTGTGAGGAAATCAAATGCTTTACCTCCAAGGTGTCACAGGGAAGCTGTGCTGAGAACTGAGCCCGGGGTTTCTAAATGTCAGATGACAACATTTTGAGCGTCACAGAATAAAACCCATATTGTGCAGCTCCTCTGCCTCACGCAGGACCAAGCAGGAAGTAGTAAATGACTTGCAAAAACTGCAGTCTAAACTGTTCAATACACAGATAGAAATAACAGGTTTATTCAAAAATGTATTTTGCTCATAAGCTCTGGACAATCATCTAAGACATTACTTCCAGAAGTAATGTTGTATCAATTATGATAATCCGATATAAATAATAGTCCATCTGGTTCCACTGGTGGGAAGTTGTCCTTAGGATGGCTCCTTTCATTTTGTAGTGTTTTACATAGCTGCTGTTGGTTTTCAGACAGCTCTTTCATAGTCTTTAAGAACATGCATGTCTTCCTCTATGCTAAAATGAAGTCAGTCATCTGTGGGTAGCCATAGAAGACAACATAGCTCATAGAGTAGTGAACTCTGCTTCATGAAAATGGAAGACGAGTTATATTTGAGCATAAAGCCCATCCCATTATCAGTATAGGATTATGTTTTATATATCCAAAAGAACTGAGGCAGATGAGATGCCCTAAGAAAAAGGAATTTGCTTTCTTTATCACACAGCAGGTTTTTGTCTACCAGCTGTTTCAGGTAAGATTTAGGTCATTTTATGGAGCATCAAGCAGACGCAGTGCATGGTGTTCTAAACTCTAACCACCAAGGGTGCAGCAAGAAAGTAGGTGGAGGAAAATGCTGCATGTTCAGGGGATACAGGAATGGTGCAGGCATGCAGCTAGCAAAGAGCATGGAGAGAATTAGAGGGGACTGGGAAGAGTTTGTTGCAAGCTCCTGTCAGCAAAGATATAGAGAGCAAGGCAAGAGTTGTTCATAAAACCCTTGAGCTGCCTCACCTGTTAGCTTTGAGCTTTCTATATTGAAAAAAAAAAATAGTTTTCTTACTTGATATAAATAAAACCTTCTGGTTGTCTTTGGAGGGTTTACTACCAGAGTCAGTCAAGAGGCGGCCGCCTCAAAGCTCTGCCTGCCATCAGGTCTCATCAAATAAATCATTAAAAATCCTTTGAGGCAAGAATCAGAAGCCAAGCCATCTCCTCCCTCCCCAGCCTGCCTTACAGCCAGGCTGCAGACTGTCTGCAGGGCTTTGGTGGTTGCTTCAGTGAATATCTGACTGTTTTTCACAAAATGGAAGAGTGTGCATGAAGGGACTAAAAAAAGATGATTCAGAGTGTCTCGTACCGTGGTACTTAAGTCTTGCCCTGCTTTGCTTGGTTCAGTACCTGGCCATGTCAAGGTTTCCCACCTTTATAGCATTAAAATCAAAAACCCAGATTATGCAATTTATGAATATAAAACATAAAAATGCCATCTTTTCTGGAAATGATGATCATGCTGTTATGACACAGAAAAAGGGATACATTATACAATTCATGCATATGTAGTTCGTAGGGGTGCTGCCCCAAATTAGGTGTGCATGACACCGGGTGTCTGCTGCCTGCCACGGTTACTGGTTTCTGAGGTTTGAAGCTGAACTGTTTGTTTCAAGTCTAAACAGTGTTGAAGCATTCCAGCATCTGTTTGCCTTATCTGTACGTGCACACAGTTCATAAAGTCAGATCATTTAGGAACTACAGCTGAGAAACAGTCCTGGAATATTGTAATGTTCAAAAAAGCCTGACTTTGGTTTTTGCAGAGGTAATTCTGATCTCTTGGTTTGTGTTCTTCTTCTTTTAGCCGTCAGTCCAGACTTCTCCAAAACACTCTTGAAAAAGTTAACTCTTGTTAAAGTGGGTGGTGAAGTAATCATTGAGTGTAAGCCGAAAGCTTCCCCCAAACCTACTTATTCGTGGAAGAAAGGAAGAGAGATCCTAAGAGAAAATGAGAGGTAATGTTTTAAACTAACCGTTTCTTCCATTAGCCTGCTCCAACCCAGGGACTTTCAGCAATGAAGCCTAAATTTGTCATTAATAGCTTCTCAAAATTGACTTGCAAATAAATGTGAAAACAGCCAGTGTTTAATCTCAAGGAGCTGGGGGTGAGATTTCTATTCTCATTGCGTTCATTCCAGTCTCTGTGTACTATTAAAGCATCCCTGCCAAGAAGCTGATAAAGATGCATTCTAAAAAGCAAATATTTTGCTTCTGCATTGCTCTAAATAGCCACTAGCAGAAAAAAAAAAATATTGCCCAGGAGATAAAGCTCTCCACCACAGATTACACTGCTGTGGTACGTTACTCAGTGTCCCACAGACAGGAATTATTTGGCAGTAACTAACTTGGCAGTCCCAGCACCTGACTTGGAGATGGCTTTTTCAGACTAGCCAAGCCATTTCTTTCTTTATTTTTTTTTTTCTAATTCCAAAGGAGAGCATTAGTAGGAAGCAGAAGGTTACGTTTCAAATTCCTGTGCATGGTTTTGCAGTGCTTCCTGCAAGGTCATGAGTGACTCTGTAGAGGTGAAGTTGTGTTACCTGTCCTGCTTGCATAGTGCATGAGAGCAGGACCTAGAGAGCTGTCCCTGGCAGTCCTCAAAATATGGTGCACCACTGGGATTGGTGGGAAAAATCCTGGCCTATTAATAAAGGTCCAAAATCCAGAAATTACAGGAAATTGTTACTTCTAAAAGCTTAAACCTGTTAGAGCTGGTTTGGAAAAGTAGTTTTGCTCCATTCAACCTGCCTGCCTGTAATGTACATTGAAATATATGCTATGGCAATGTGTACGAGTATGCAAAAAGCTATAGGTCATTTAGAGCCAGATGGGTAAAATAATGAACAATCTATTTCTGACTTATTTATCTCTTGTGACCTGGTCTTTACAAAGCTGTTGGCTGTGGACCGTTTGACTTGCCTCTTGGGATAAAAAGAGTTGAGTGATCAATTACACAGAGCTTCCTCTAGCAGGCAGGGTACAAAGCTGTGAGAGGTCAAAGTTATAATAGATCAAAGTATATTGATTTTTAAAACTGAAATAACTTGCTCTTCTGGTGGAGGTTGTGCAAAGGATTAGAAGTACTAAAGACTGGAAGTTTCAGAGTGTCTCCCATCCTCACCGGCACAGTCCATAACTGAAATGTGCTTTCTGTCTCAGATGCTGTTCTCCTAGGCACAACACAGTTCTTTCTTCTCATTTTAATTTAGGAGTGGGAAAGGAAGCACTAGTTTATTGAGCAAGGGCTTAGGAAAGGAAAGGAATGTGACCAGTTTCTTGCTTGGTCACTGCTGTGCACTGCTGGCAAAAAAGTGGTATTTTTTTTTTAGCACTACTCTCTCGCCTGCAAACTTACCTAAAAATTGAATGCTGTAATACAGCAAAACACCCTGGCTCCTGATTTCCCAAGGGAATGTGATTCACGCTCTGCTAGCATAACGCTAGGCAGTGGCTCAGGTTGCCTGTGTGCTTACTTCCAAATAACTTTTGAACTGGTTATTTGATGTAGATGTTTCAGTTGGTTTCCACCAAGATTAGGAGAGCAAGAGATACACCTCAAAAACAGCAGGTTTCTGCAAAGCAGAAGTACGTGTAGTCATTAAAACTTGCTAAATAGCACATACTGTGCTGGCCACAGCCCCTGTGCTCAGGCAGACTCTGGGCAGAGGCTGGGAGGACAGGCTGTGAGTACAACACGGTGCTCCGAGCAGCTCAGTGTTGAGCTCAAACGCAAGCCACAGCAAGGCTGATGTGCTGGTGCTCTTGGCAGCGCCAGGCTCAGTGCCGCACTCCTCTGAGAGCGCTGAGCCAGGACCCGGAGCCTCCCACCCGGGCACCAAGCCCTGGATGGGAAATCAGATGTGAAACGTGCCCAAGCAGGTGTGTAATTTTCCACTACTTCAGCCCAGGGGTTTTTCCACCAGCCAGATCATCCAGAGGGGCCTATCTGGCAAAATGTCTTAATAAACAGCGCTCTGTTGACTTGGCACTTAGACCTGTTTAGTTCTTACACGCAGTTGGTTGTGTCTCTCGTGGGGATGAGGATGTTGAATCCTCGCCACCGCCTTTATTAACCGTTCTTGCAGTCTGTACCTTGAGACAATTAGGAAATTATATTGTCTTGTATGGTCGTGGCATTGTTCATCGGCACTGTCTGACTTCAGGGGCAGGGGAGACCCAGTGCTTCATGTTCCTGTATTTCTGGTTTCTTTGGCTGATGAAATATTATCTCCTTCCTGCTGTTCTAGGGGACAGCAGCACTGACTGGAGTCCAGTCCTAGTACCTCCCTACACCCACACTTAATGTGTGGGCTTCAGACAGGAACTTTCTTGGCTGTTGAAAGAAAAAAATGTTGAAATGCAGGAAGAAAGATGCCAAGAAAAGCTGTTGCTGAAATCTCTTCATCTAGGGCAGAAAACAGAACTTTTAGACAGACGTGGGAGATGAAACTTAAATTAATTCAAGTTTCAGAGAAGCACCTGAACATCTGGATACCTCTCCAAACTGAATTTGATCATGTGAAGGTTAATCAATATAGATGATCCTTCCAATTCCAGGTGGAGTTAAAAGCAATGTTAATGTGTCAGTCCTTGCTTTGAATTCTGATGTACAGCCCGATGGCTACCATGGCAATCGCTCGAGTGTTTCTCCTGGGGCTTGTGTGACTTTTCAGATAGAATGTAATGTTAGGGACTCCTTACTGGAGACAGAAAGAGTGTGCATCAGATTTTGCTGCCAGGATTCTTTCTCTGGAGGTTACTGCTGTCCAGGAGGCAAAACTAAGTGTGTTGTTCAGTGTTTGCCCAGAGAGCAGAGGCTACCGTGGAAAAAAGAGTTTTATTGTTTTAGGTTTCATATTCTTCTCTGGAGGCTGAGGTAGTGTGTACTGCACCCCTAATGAATACCATGCCCTGAAGGTATCTCTTACTGGTGGTTGAGAACTGTGCAATTGTGTTATTAGAAATTCTGCCCTGGAGTATAATTATATTATTGCAGTCATTAAGGTCAGTTCATCTCCATAATAATGGAAATCCTGCCTTGGAGGCCTAACTGAGCCAAAACAATGTTAGTAGCCTGACTCCAGAAGGTAAATTTTATATAGAAACAGCTATAGCACAGATAGAGATATATTGGAAATGCTGCTTGGAAACAAAGACTATTTCTGTATGGGTAAAGATACAGAGATAATTTTCTGTCCGTGATCTTTCCTTCAGATTTCAGTGCAAAAAATGGCTGTTACACTCTGTGGGAAAGGTTTTCAGTCCTACTAATGCCACTCTGTACAAATCAGCCTCATAGAGCCACTGGTAGAGAAGAGCAGGTGAGTCTGCTGTTTACCACAGCATCTCACACCTTCCACACCACAGGGACAGAAGGCATGACTAAAATACACCTACCCTCTGGGAAACCCTTGTTTGGGAATAGGGGATACCATTTAGACAGGAATGGTCACCATAAAGCTGTATAGGCTGCATCCTCAGAGAGATAGTGGTATACGAGTAGTGCTTATGACCCGCTTGCCCCAGCACATTCCTCAGGCAGAAGCCATTTAATCCTTTCAGTATGCACTCTTGTGCATATAACCTGGAAGTTTGAGCCAGCTGTCGAGACCTGCAGCTGGTAGGGTGTCATTCCAGAAGGCAACAAGCAATGGGAACTCAAGTTGTGAGTGGTGTCTTCTGGTGATTATAAACTGTGATTTGGGACATGTCAGATTGTTCATCAAAGACAAAGAGTTGAGTTCAGAATGTTTTTCACTTACCATTTGGTTCTCCTATATTCATCTTTCCAGATATGTTTAGCTCTGATCTCTTTATTCTGACTAAACAGCATGAGAAAAGATATTTTGGAGAGCTGGGTTCCCATTACATAGGTTCTCTTTTCTCACATCCCAGCTTACATCAGTGTCACTCAGATCAAGATGGAGAATGTTGCTGCCCAGCTGCCCGAGGAGGCCTGGCATTCAAACAAGGCAAAAACTCCTGGAATGGGGAGTGCACAGATGGTAGAGCCAGGACTCATGTTTTTGATTTAAATCTCAGTAGCACTTTGGTTTTATAATCTTATGTCTTCATCCCCCTGATTTTATGAAATAATGTAGTCGATGTCAAGTGATTTTTTGGATCTGTGGCATCATATACATAGGACATAGTCATAATATAGTCATATGTAGGGACATGGTCTTACGCACTTATCACACCATGTGAAAGACAGATAATCTGAACTGTGCCTCTGCTTTGTTCCAAGGCTGTCTCAGAAACCAAATCAATCATTCCTAGATGCCAGTTGGAGTTACAGAGGTAGAGGGTAATTTTACATGAGATTTACCAATACAAAACAGAAATCCATAGTTACCCACAAAAAGTTTCTATTAATTGATGGCCCCTGTATAACACTGAAGTGAATGAAAGCAAGTCCTTAATGGAAGGACATAACTTCCCTTCTAAAGCCAAACATTCTTCAGTCAGTGGTATTTCCCTTTTGTGACAATTATTTCCTGGCATTACATTACAGATATTATTCATTGGCAGGAGTAGGAGGAGTAATCATGACAGCCAGATTGTTCTTGCAGGATTTTGTTAATCTTCTCCTAATAACTCAATTACATCTAATACAACAACGTCAGATAAATTTGTTACTGAGACCAGTGATTTAAAACCTTTATTTTCAGGTGATCTTATCACAGAAACCTTTCAATTTCTTCATAATTACCATGTGGACTCCCATGGAGAGCTGCACTCAGTTGCAAGTGCAAGTGGTTCATCCTCGTGGTGGTGGTGGAAATAAGAAGTCACCGTAGTTGCCAGCTCATTCATTCAGATTTCCTGGGTGCAGGAGGGATATTCAGACTTTGTGTGATTAGAGACAAATCCTGGTGCTACGCAGAGAGCTGCCAGCTGAAATTGAAATAAGCCCCTGTCACAGCTGCTCCACACTCCAAACTGCTCCAAACTC